TTCAGTGAAAATCTATCTTTATATCGTCATCATATCAGTTAAGATTCCTTGGGTAATCATCATACTCCCGTAATGCTTAACAGGTTTTCTTCTTTCAGGTCTTCTCAGTCATCACTACCTTCTTGATCATGTCACCTTTCACGCAATCTATCCATCTCTTTCTAGGTCTACCTCTACCGGTGTACCCCTCCACACTAAAGCGTTACATGTGATTCCTCTCTCGTAACATGTCCATTCCACGCTCACCTTTTACTCCTTAATTTCTCTACCACTAGGGTTACTTACAATTTCTATAATTGCGAATCATACTAGGCGTTGATAAAATTTTTTTGATATAAAAACATTAGTAGATTTTTGTAATTTGCTATATTTCTTTTGTATTTCCAACTAAGGTTTGTACTAATATGGTTTGCGACAACCGAATGGCGGGATTCGAACTCTCGACCACATGATCGGAAATCCATAACCATTAGGCTATTGGCGCTTTGTTTATTTGATTTAATAATATAAATGCATTTAGATTACATTCCCGTTACGAATTAAAGTTTACCGTACAAATAGTTCGTTCTCCTACCATTCTCAATACTCTCTTAATTATAATCCGTGGTTATATTAGTTCGATATATTATCATCCACTTGCCCTTATCCCTTACGGAGGGTCGGCACAGTATGTGCTGCTATTCCATACATCTCTATCAGCCGTCATATCTGAATCCACTCCTTTCTTAAGCATATCTTTCACACAATTCATCCATACTTTCTTCGGTCTTCCTCTACCTTTGTAGCCATCCACATTCAATCTTAACTTTCTGGTTTATGTCCCCATCGTTTCGTCGATTATTTCGATATATCATCAAATAATATTAATTCCAGGCCAAAGATCCAGAGAACGAACAAGTGACATACTCTATAGTGTCCGGTAACGATCTACGTCAGTTCGCTATCGGCGCCAGCTCGGGCGTCATCACTGTCATACGACGACTCGACAGAGAAGTGCTTACGAGATACCAACTTGTAAGTACTGTATATTGTTTATATTTACATATGTTTATATACTGGATTTTTCCCATTTATTCTAGACCAGTGTCCCCAATACCCACGCCCCATAAATGGACAATTTGATAGTTGAAACAGATAGATAAAATGAGAAATTAAAAAATGGCCTAGATACGATCCGGACTATTTAAATGCAATGATAGTTACCGGTACTGAATTTAACAAAAAAATGCAAATTCTTCATTAAATTCTGTAAATAATTATAAGGCATAAACATTTTGAAATGTCAGGATAATGACACAAAAGTATGGGAAAAAATTATACTGATTCAATTACTATGAAGCTATTATAATTACTGGATTCAATAAATAAATAAAACAGAATCCTATGTCGTGTTTTAGATGGTGAAAGCAGAAGATCCTGGTAAACTGGCGAGCACCGCGACTGTCAACATCAAAGTCACAGATATCAACGATAACAATCCTAAGTTCGAAGAAGACTCGTATACTTTTCAAGTCAAAGAAGGTAATTCATCTTTTGAAAACTCCTTACATAAGTAAACATTCTTATTTAGAGCATTATATGAGTTTAATTTTACTTTGCTTTACCAATTACTATTATAAAAGCAATAGTTTAGATGCATATATGTGTGTATGTAATTCTTGAACGGCTCAACGGATCGCGATAAAATCTTACTAATATTATAAATGCGAAAGTTTAGATAGATGGATGGATGGATGTTTTTTAGCGTTTGTAGCCTAAACGGCTGAACGGATCTCCATAAAATTTGGCACAGGTTTAGAGCATAGTCTGGAAGAACTCATAGGCTACTTTTTATCCCGGGAATAATTACGGTTCCCGTGGGATTCATTAATTTAGTTTTTTAATGTTCACTCGATCATTCTGCAACGGTTCAACATATCTTATTGAAATTTGGCACAGATATAAAACAAAGTCTGGAGTACACATGAGATAAGCTTCATCCCCGAGAAATGTCCGGTTCTCGAGGGATACGTAGCTTTTTGTAATTCATATAGTTCGTATGTTTTCTAATACCACGCGGACGAAGTCGCGGGCAACAGCTCGTATGAAATAAAATGTTTTCGATTCCGCCCGAATAGAGTCTCTAGGATAATCTAATAAATCGACATCATCAAAAAAATAAATATTTGATACCAACTTCGTGACCCCATCTCCCAGGAATTAAATAAAAAACAAAAACCGTTAGTCTACGTGTTCTTCCAGACTATCATACCTTTATGACAAATAGGAGTTCCGTTCAACAATTTCGACTACAGACTCACAAATATCTATACATTCACATTTTAGTAAAATTAAACCTTATCATCATCGCTTAAAGTAGCTTTTCCTACCAGGTGCGTCAGGGGAGACAGTAGGCTACGTGCACGCGACTGATGACGACGAAGGCGTGAATGCCCAACTAAGCTATAGTCTGCCTGCACACCTGCCGTTTACTATAGATAACGCTACCGGCATGATCACTACACTTAGCGAACTGGATTACGAAGATATTAAGGTAAGAATACAAAATCTATACTAATACAGTAGAACCTTGGTAACTTAAAAACCTCTATAACTTCAAAAAATAATATGTTCCCTTCCCATCAGAGCCCAAAACCTTTATAACAAAGACCCGTGATAACATAAAACCTTTGTATTTCCCCTGGACTTTAACTTATCGAGGTTCTACTGATTATAAAAAGAAAAGATTTGTATTTTTGTATGTATTCGATTCACGTAAAAACTACTGCACAGATTTCTAAAATTCTTCCACCATTTTAAGCTATGTTAGCTAAGCAAGCTGAGTAACAGGCGTTTTTTTTTAATTTCACGCGGACAAAGTCGCGAGCAACAGGTTACTAATATGAGTGTGGACACCGGTAGAGGTAGAAATAGATTGCGTGAAAGGTGACGATCAAGTAGGGGATGAATGTGATAACAGATGATAGTTATTTGGAGGATAAAAGGTAGGGGAGATGTATGTACACAGTTGTCATTATACAGGATGTTCTAATTAACTGTCTATAAAAAGGAGGTTGTCAATTCGATTGAGTTTTGTGTGTTTGTTAGTTTCAGATATTTCGTTTCAAATAATTAAAAAAATAGACGAACGGCCATAATAACAATATTGCGCTCAAGATATCTTATTTTCCGAAGACTGGATAGAAATCTATTTACTAGACCACTTAAATTTCTTACCCAGTATCACATTGCTTTGGTAACTTTACGTTGATTTAAAGCATCGTATTATCAAATATATGTAAATTAGTTTAAAGCTAGAATTAAGTAGTGAAGAAATTGAGAAGCAATAGGTTAGCGTGGTATGGACATGTTATGCGACGAGATGATGAGGACATAAACCAGAAAGTGTTAAGATTGAATGTGGATGTCTACAAAGCTAGAGGAAGACCGAAGAAAGTATGGACGGATTGTGTGAAAGAGGATATGCTTAAGAAAGGAGTTGAAAGTTGAAAGGAGTTGCTTAAGGAGGAGAGGAGAGGATTCAGATATGACGGCTAATAGAGATGTATGGAAGAGCACCACATACTGTGCCGACCCTCCGTTAGGGATAAGGGCAAGTGGATGATGAGTTTAAAGCTAAAATTAACAATTCTAATGTACATTTACAGGACTACGCGTTCGTAGTAACGGCAACAGATGGCGCTATCGACAAGCGGTTAGGCACAGCCTCAGTTACTGTCCAGGTACAAGATGTGCCTGACGAAGATCCAGTGTTCCTACAGGATATCTACACTGTGCGTGTGCCGGAAAATGTTAACAACTACCCCGTGGTGCAGGTTCACGTGAGTAATCATTTAATAGTAATAATTATAGAAATATACAAGCAAATATTTGTTGTTACCAACACTATGAGTGTTGTTTACTAAAAGCAGAAACCCCATTCTGTATTCGATAATAATGAGCTTGGTAAAATCTTGGTTTTAAAACTCAAAAGTTTTAAATTGACATAAAAAATCTTCATGTGAGGGCTAAATATGTCATATTCATATTCACCAACCGACCTTCAAAGTATTTTAAGATTATCTCTTTAGTTAAGTCCAAGTCTAAAGCTTAACCTAATAAACAAGTAAACGTTAGTGAAATCGAAACTCCAACTTGGACCCATAAAAGGCCATTTAAAAGACCCTAACTAAAGGACTTTGAGTCAATCGTCATTCTCCTAAACACTATAAGACTAAAATTCTTTTTAAATATCAAGATTTTTTTTAGTTCTTAATTATCTACAGGTGTGCCAGAGGCCTAGTTGTTTTTTCCTACCCAGCCTATTTTTCAAGGAAAGGATGGGATGGAAAGGATGACAGTGAAGACTCTTATAGAAATATATCGCTTACTTTTCCGCCTTACATAGAAAAGAAACTTGTATCTTCCAGGCAACAGATCCGGATACGACGCCGGAGATCACTTATACAATATTAAAGGGGAATATGGAATTATTTTCTATAGACCGAAAAAACGGGGTTATAAGAACCGTACAGCCGCTAGACAGGGAAGCGAGCGCGAGGTATGAACTCCTCGTGGGCACGGAGGAGAATAACCAGGAGATGCCGGGTGCAACCACTACTGTTGAAGTTATTGTTGATGTAAGTATGTTAAAGTTTTTTTTTAAACAAGCCTAGTCGTCCTTTTAATAGGTGGTTAAAACAGCAAACTTACTTGAGCGTAATAGTAAACTTCGTTTTTTGTACTTCAGATTAAAATATAATATGGGTTATGTTTAAAATTATGATCATTTTCTTCTAAATCTTCAATAGTGAAATATTTGTAAAAGTTAACTTACTTCTTGTAGATAATACAAAAAATATACAGACTGATTGAGTACTTCCTTTTGGGAAGTCAGTCAAAAATCAAACAAAACACTGACAATATTAACGAAATACATCAAAAGCGAGACTAATTTATAAAAAAAAAACTATAAAACTTTTAATTTAGTATCGTTAAAATGCTATGATACATAACGTCATGTGATTTGAATATGAAAAATTAGCTTTCGCACGCGACTCCGTCCCCGTGGATTTAAAAAAAAACCTATGTGTTCTTCCAGACTATGGTCTACATCTTAGCCAAATTTCGTGATCCGTTTCGCCGTTTAGGCTACAAACTCTAACAAACATCCATCCATTTAAACTTTCGCATTTATAGTGTGTAGTAGGATGTTTGGTACATTTAAAATTTATTTTCAGGATAAAAACGACAACGCACCAGTATTTACAATGGCGGTACGCCCTGTCACTATAGAGGATTCCTCGTCTATCGGTAATTTGGTACAAACGGTGATAGCTTCAGACGCAGACGCGACTTCTCCTAACAACAGAGTGCGGTACAAATTAGTAGGCAGGGGAAAGGCTTCAATCTATTTCCACGTTGAACCCGATACGGGTGCGTTACGTGTACGTGACGATTTGAGGAAAGAAACCGACAGTGAATATACGGTAAGCATAGAGAATATATAATTAAACTAGCTTTCGCCACCGACTACGTTCGCGTTAATTTAAAACACAAAAATAAGCATGTGTGTTCTTCCACACTGTTGTATTTCTATGACAAATTCCATCGAGATTTAGGCTGCAAACTCTAACGGATGTTATGTTTGGATGGATGGATATTCATCCATCCAAACTTTCGCATTTATAATATTAGTAAGAAGTAATATATAATATTAGTAAGATTGGTTATCTATAGGATACTAGCATTTGAGTGCGGCTCCGAACGCACGGTATTTTAAAACGTAACCTTAGTGTTTATCTGTACTATATTCTATGACAGACAAAATTCATCCAAAACCTTTAAGCTGTTTAGAAGATAACTTCTAACATATATCCATTCATCTAAACTATCGAATTTAATATTAGATAAACTGCTAGTAGAACTAATAAATAGGTACAATTAGTGTATACATTCTAAATAATTTAAATATGATTTCACAGGTGGATATCCAAGCGTATGACCAAGGAGAGCCAGTGATGTCAACTGTACTGAGCCTTACCATTTACGTCAGTCATTCCGCTACCGTACCTCCTGATGTAAGTTAATTTTTACATACATAATACCAAGGGCCTGTCCCACTACTGGCTGATAGAGGCTCGATAGCTTAAAAATGTCACTGTAAGGCAACAAAATCCGATATTTCCATAACATATTTTACACGTTCGATTCCTATCAGATAATTTACAATTTGCGAGGTACACGTAAGGCCTGTTAACTATATAACTTTCGCATTAATAATTTTAGTATTGGAGTGTTTATTTATTTAATTTCGTAGGTAGGACTTGGTTTTGCGGATACTTTGTACACAGAGCACGTTGCGGAAAATTCGGCGAATGGTACTCTAGTGAGGATATTACCATTGTTGAATAAAAGAGAACATTCTCCCGACACTCCGCTCAAATGTCGACTTACTGAATCTTCACAGAATGGTAAGCATTTAGATATAAAGTTAAGAACGCACCCATTTGACTAAACTATCTAACAACTGTTTCGTTGTGCTTTGATTCGTATGAGCTTATATGGAGGTAAATTACTCGATATTTAGTTGTGCAACTAAACAGTTGAATTGGCTGCGAACCAATCGACAATCAAACAACAGTTGTGTGATAGTTTAGTCAAATGTGCGCTCGCTCTTTACTTACCTAATTTTAAGTCATTTATAATTTTCTGGTCTTATCTATTGAACTAAAACAATAAAAAAAAATCCTTTACAGCACAATTACTTACAAAAATTGACACAAAGTAATTAAATACAAAATAATAACAATCCTATTACACGAATAAAGCGCTGAATTTTTTCCTTTTAAAGATCGTGTCGTGCATCTCTTTCTTGTAACGTAATATTTTCTTAGTAACATCTTCCTTCTCTTTCTTGTAACGAAATGTGACGCATGATTTTTAAATCTAAAATGTGTTTGTATTCCAGGTGTATTCTACGTGAAATTAACCGAAGAAAGGGATTGCGCGATCTACCTGAATACAAGTTCGTTAGATTATGAAACTCTTACCGAGTATTCTCTTGAAGTACAACTGGAATCTATACAGGGTTTAATAAACCCTGACGCGAGTAAAGCGGTCGTCAAAGTGCATGTAACTGACGCCAATGATAATGCACCGGTTTTCGTTTTTCCCGAACAATCTACGATAGCTAATGCGAAAGAGAAATACTTTGCGATAGCTACGAAAGAAATGCTTTTAGGAACAAATGTATTACAAGTTAAGGTAGGGTTTTATTTACTCTGTTTAATCTTTTAAAATTTTAATTATAATGTCAGTTGCCAAATACCTGATACACAAAGTTAACAATAGTTTTCGATCTCGATGTTACGAAGAAACACAATTTTATTCACTTTTTAGCTTTTATTCTAGCTGATAGCAACTTCATCCGTGCGAAATTAAAAAAAAAGACTTAATTAGTGGCCTACATGTTCTTCTAGACTATTCTATATTTACACCAAATTGTAAATCTGTTAAGCTGTTCTGGAGATACGTAGTAACATACATCCTTTCATCCATCCATCCATCCATCTAGACTTTCTCATTTATCATATTGTAGCTATAGCCCTTGTTATTTTTTATTTTAGTATCTCATGTACTAAAGCGTTATGTTTAAAATTAAATATTTTTTTTTTATAATTTTACTCAGGCCAAAGACAAAGATAGCGGAGATTACGGTAAAATAGAATACCAAAAGAATTCATGGACCAAAGCTGCGGAGGAATACTTCAGTCTAGACGCCGACACAGGGGTGATCAGTAACATAAAAACATTCGAGAATGTTCCACCAGATGTTCTACCTTTCAAATTCAGTGTGACTGCGAGAGACAACCCTAATTCCCCACAAGATTATAACGTAGCTAGAGCTTCTGTTGTGGTAAGTAACTAACATGAAATATAACTTAGAGTCAAGTGTAACGTAAAGATTGTTGTTACTTTCTTTATGAATCATCACTCCTAAAGTTGTCCAATTCGTGATTTTTTTTGTATAGTTTTTTATATGTTTTTATTACCTTGTTTGAATTGTTACATCCATCAATTATTTTTTGACTTAAGTGACATGAGAAGGGGAGATGGGTGATTAAGGGGAAGGGTAATTTAATTCAAAGAATGATTTTCGAAATATGGTTCCATTTTTAATGAAATACTGGGTGTTTTAGGTTACCTATAGCAATTGACGGCATTTTCAATTTTCAAAGTCGTATATATGTTCCCCTTCCCTCTAGCGACGCCCATTTCATTAATTTCTAGGCTTTATCTAAAATACACTCTTTATTTCACATGTCGATAGATGTGGTAGTGCCCGCTTTAACATCTTAGCACTGCAGGGCCGGCACGCCCCCAGTAATACCACCACCACACAGAAGACAGGCGTGAAATGGAAGCAATTCCTTGTTTCGTCTGATGAGTGTGGTGCCGGAGGCCTAATTTAAGTCCCTTTCTCTTTACCACCCTTTTCTTATAAGGAGAGGATGGGAACGGGAAGTGGATTTGACGGTAGAGGAGATGCATAAGAAGGGGAAATCTCCTCTTTATGTGCGTCTCCTCCTCTGTCAATTAAGGGTAGGCAACGCATCTGCAATTGCAGATGTCTATGGGCAGCGGACGCTTTGTCATTTTGGCGGATTCAGGTGGCCGCTTGCTCGTTTGCCACCTTATGTTATAAAAAAAAAATGTAGATATACTAAAAGAGACCAACATCAGATCTAATCAATCGCTTTTACAGATTAATCTTCTGCAAAAAGAAAATCAACTTGTTGTTGAAGTAGCGGATTTGAATGCGGAGACTCTAAGACGACAATCTCGTAGTTTCCTGCAAGCGATAGAAGAGAAGAGCGGCTTAGTCGCTGGTTTAGAGAAGTTGACAGCGAGACATTATTTGGGAGAGAACGGGACATTGGAGAGTGATTCCAAAGGAACAGATGTCTGGTTGTATCTCGTCGATCCTAACACTGGTGCGATACTATCGAGAGAATCTACGCCTGTGAAGAAGTGAGTATTATATTTAATAATCTGTATAATAAAGCCATATTTATCTCTGATTGTTTTACGCGTTTGTTTCACAATTTGGTCTGAATTATATATTTAAGTTATATTACTGATTTTATGATAATTGGCGTCCATTTAAGATTAAATTTACACTTTTACCACCTGCTTCATAGTATTCCTTTGTAAATGTAATAGAAAATGTGTTGCCACATTAAGGCCGTGGTCACAAATTGTTCATCTGATCTGATTTATGTCTATCTAACCCGAGATTTTAGCCCACTGTGCAATCGAGCCGCCTTGCAAGTGTTGTGAACGCAGCTTATACATGTTGATTATTACTTTTATTAAATTTTCACTAAGCGCCACCTTAACTAACACTTAAAAACTTTCCATTATTATTATCTAGTCCTAGTAGTAAAGGTAATTTATTTTTTTTAGTAAATTTAATATTGTAATTGAATGTAAAATAAAGTAAACAATTTCCTTGGATTCACTACTTCAGGGGAAGAAAGACGGGGCGGCAAAATACCGCTTATAAAAAAAATAACTCCGTGCATAATCGTTAATCATCTTCCTAGCCTTATCCCACTTACGTAGGGTTAACAAGGCCATATATTTAAAGTGTCTGCTTAACGGTAAATAACCGTTTTATATATGTTTTACTATTTGTGTCAGTGCTATAGAGGGCGGTGTGCATAAGGCTGTGGGCGCACGTCTTCAAGCGCCGGTAAGTGAGGTGCGTGCGCCTCTACGGGCCGCCGCACCGCCCCTACGTCCGCACCTTGCTGCCGCGCCACTTGCCACCGCACTCCCTGCTGCTCTACTGGCGCTTGCCGCACTTGTACTGGTAGCCGCGTCCGCCGCTACTATATACATCTGCGCATCTTGGAACAGGTATTTTCATCACATGTCCCACTAAGGAGCTTAAAAACTAACCTAAGTTAGGGTGACTAGGCAATAGTCGACCACTTCACATCGCTTCGCTGATATGTGCAGCTTGCATCACGTTTTTGTTCACTGTAAGAACGTCGGGTAAATTATGTGCATATGAAATTTCAAAAAATCTAAAATGTTGGTTTATATTTAATATTGTAACACTGTTTAGTTTATTTTATAGTATAATTTTGTAAAACTTTTTCATTACCTGTCAATACAAGAACCCGGTGGTACTTAACTTTGATCTTTCAGAGAAAGTACCGGTGAAAAAAATTTTGTTCAATACCTCGTCTTTTTGATAAACAAATGATAAAGTTTTTAGAATTTACCTGCTAAATTAGTATGTATATTTTACAGATACAAGAAGCACAAAGAACAAGCTATCCAGCAATACGGTACACTAAGCATGAGTATGCCGCCGCCGCGCCCGCCCTCCGGATATGAATCCAGCGAGGATGAGCCCGCGCCTAGATATGAAACACAAGTACGTAGAGTTTAATAATTCTGGTTATAATCGCGTACTCCAGTTTACTAATGTGACAATTACATTGCTTATGCGTTCTCTCTCATTATTTTTAATAAAACTAGCTGTTACTTGCGACTTCGTCTGCGTGAAATTAAAAAATAGTCTATGTTACTGATTACATAGCTTTTTAATGTTGTAAGAATTTTTAAAATAATCCCAAAAGTTTTTGAGTTATTTCAATACATACAAAAATACAAATCTCTCCTCTTTATAATTAGTAGAGACAGTCAGCAATATGTATTCAAGTGTCAAGGGTGTTTCATAGTAATTTTTAGTACTTTGTTTTGAATTTATTAGCTGATATCATGAATTAGTGTTTGTTTCAGGTTTTAAATATGGCTGTAGACGATGCTGATTTGCAGCTAGATTTTAGTCCAAATAATCATGCGTTTAACATACACAGCGTGCAATATCTTACTAAAGATAATGGTAAGCAAATTTTCTTACTATCTTATAATACTGTCAGTTCCTTTAGTATTTCCAATATTAATTGTACACTAAGTGGTGGTTCCATAACTATTCAGTGCCAGTTATACAAACTATCAATAAATGCGTGCAGGAGGCCTAATTTTAGTCACTTAGTCTTTACCTATTTTCTGATAAGGAAAGGATGGGTAGAGAAAATGGATTTAGTGGTAGAAGAAAATCCTCTAGAGGAAACACCCTTTATGAATGCATCTGCAATTGCGGATGTCTACCAACAGCAGTCGCTTCGCCTTTTCAGCGAATTTAGTTGGCTGCTCGTTTTCCACTTTATAATGTAAAAACTCTCCCATACAGGTGAACGTAGTCCAACATTATCCGAAACCG